TGAATCGCAAATATTTTGTTATCTAAAAAATTTCTTGAATTTTGTCAATACTGCCTTGTATTTCGTTAATTTTTTTTATTGTTAATTTTTCTGAAATTTTACAAAAACTTTAGCGAATATACAAACTTGAAAAGGTTGTAAATAATAAAGGAAAATTAATGGACCTCCCAATAAAATCTTAAAATCAGTTTTCACCCCCATTCACGACCCATTTTTTTTTTATAAAATTACTAACACCAAAAATTTTGACCCGAGTTGCACTTCTTTCTAATAGGTTAAATATTTATTTTGCGAAAGGTATGCCGGTGGGATGTTAGAAAATTCAGAGTTATGCTTATTTAACCCCGAATTTTATCAAATTTTTAAAACCTACTTATAGCTACTATTTGCATGTAATAATCCCCTAAATTAGTATCTATTGCCTCAGCGTAGTGAGAGAAGTGGCAGCCTCTTTAAACGGCCAAAGGAGATTTAAAAAGTTCCCTGTAATTAGAGTAGCATAGAATGATAAATTCTCAATATTTCGTACAAGGCAACTAAAAATGTCGCGACAGGAAGAGTTTTGGCCTAAAATATTTGCCTCGAAATTTGTAACAGCGCAACAAAAGGTAATTTGGGTTTTAAATAAATTAGCCCGAAAATATTGCACTGGACGTTTTTTATTAAGGCAAAAGTAGTATATACATATATTTATGACAAATGAATATATATAACAATGTTATATAAAAATTACGGTCTTATTGATAGAATTGGGCTTATAAGGATAGGCCAAATCCCGTAACTCGATATTGTAAAAACGGAAATCAAGAAATATTTAATAGATTTTTGCAGTGGTCAACTGGCTATATTTTATTCAGAACTTAAAGGCTGTAGGGATGTTAACTCAGGGCAATTTATTAAAATATTCAAATTCCAAATTTTTTAGAAATAATTTTAAAAAGTTAATAAAAAAAATTAAAATTTCTTCTTGATTTCAAATGCTTGGACAAATATTAGAGATGAAATCATAATAAATTTTATATTAACTACCCCTCCACCTATATTCTCTAGATCAGCTAAAACTGATACAGACTACTGTGATATAAATTATAAAGAAATTATCATGATAATGAAATTGGTAACCAAAAAATTACTAGTTATCACGGATAATTCCCATAATTGAAATTAGTTTGAACTAATAATGTCCAGCAAACTTCCCGCATTCGAAGTACATTAGGCATGCTGTACATGTAAATTTATTAATTCAAGATATATTAAATATAGATTCAATGAATAAAATATTTAGAAAAGCTAAAACGTTAGCAAAAGAGTAATCATTTCATTTCTGCAAAACTAAAAGAGAAGCAAGGTAATAATTATTCAACACTAAATTGCGAAGTTCAACATGATATGGTGGGGTACTAATAAGTTTAGCAAAAAAAAATTATGAAATGGCAATCCATAATATTTTTGACAGAACGAACAAAATACCAAATTCTGGTTGATGATAATTTTTTTGGGTAAATAAAGAAAAATTATTGGACCAATATAAATGCTGAATATTTCGAATTGAATCTGTTAAAGCAAGACTTTCGAAGACTTGAAGTAATGTTTCATATTAAAAAATCTATTAATATAGAGAAAAATATTTAAGGATAAAAACATTTAAAAAAAGAAAAAACATGCTGTTGCATAAAATTCATTTTTCTGCGAATCTATTGGATCCCAGATTTATGGGGGATAACCTTGTTGATATCAGGGACCCGAACCGTTATTTATAACGGTTCAGTTTGGTTACGGTTTAATATGTAAAAAATTATAATGGTTACGTTTCGGTTACGGTTCTTAAGAAAAAATTTACAAAGGTTCGGTTCAGCTAATTATAAAGGTTCATAATGGTTCATTACGGTTAGAATTTTTTTTTATTGAAGCAACACCATCGTCTAATTTATTTTTATTATAAGCATCTATGAATTATATATAAAAAAAATATATAAGATTCAAAATAACTCATTTTTAAATATATTTTTTAATATAAATGGATTCATATTTGTTTGTAGTGAAGGTCAACGGTCCGGTCCTATCGGTCTTAGACCCGGACCGATTGTCGGACCAATCTTTTTTGAGGACCATGGTTCGGACCGGTCTACCAGTCTTTTATTATTATTTAAGTTTGCTTTACTATTTAATTAATATGATTTTTTTGGATATTTTATTTTATGATATTTTTCTAGATGAGTTAGTTTAGATTTTGTTAATTTTTATTTACAATATGATAACCATAAGTTTGTCCAAGAGACATTTTACTTATAATCACAATAAAAAACATAGAGTATGTGTTCACTGCAGTACCAAATTTAATGTATCGTCAGCAACAAGTAACAAAATAATTGTTTATAATTTTTTAAGCAATAAATTAATCAAAATAAGCAGTATTATTATTAAAATATTTTGGTTATTATTTATATAGTTCTATTTTTTCTTAAGAAACTGTCTGAATAATTAATTGTCAAAATAACTTAACCTTATTCTTATAAAATAATTAGGTACCTTAAGCAGACATCTGATAAAACATAAAATATATACTTCTAATGATGAAAATGTAAATATCTCAAAAACACAATCTACTCTTAATTTTATTATGCCCTCCACAAGCACAAAATCACTTTCTTCAATACCATTGGATAAATTTTATTGTTTATATAATACTCTTATATTAAATAAAATGATAAAACAAATTAAATTAGGTTAAAAAAAATATGTTTTTTAAACAAATTAAATTAGGTTAAAAAAATATGTTTTTTAAACAAATAAAAAGACGGGTCCTGGACCGGTCTTTTAGGACCACGGTCTGGATCGATCTTTTTCTTAAGGACCGTGGTCCGGTCCGGTCCGAAGATATCGGTCCAGTCCGGATCAAAGACCGGACCGTGATTTTCACTATTTGTTTGTTGTGACGATAATACAAATTTTAGCCTTGAAAATGCCCTATCTACAGACTTGTGTTGCAGGAACCATCAATACTATCAGAACAAGTTTATATAATTCTGGATATTCAAATTTTTTTATTCCTAAAATATAAAAACTGAACCGGTTTAACCTTTTTTTATAAAGGTTCTTTTTACTCATTCAAAAAATAATTATATCGGTTCGGTTACGATTCTGATATTTATAACGGTTTATAATGGTTAACGGTTCGCTACGGTTCACTCCGGGTCTCTGATTGAGATTGATGTACTCTCAATAATCAAACTTTTCCTGATATTTTAAATTTAGATGTTGGTTTGATTATTAAAACTTAAGCGAATATCGAGCTAATGATAGTTTTTATAGAATTTCTGGCATTAGAGATATCTCCTTCCAATACCATGTTAAAAAGGACTCTGTTCAAGCCATATCTACAATTGCCCAGAGTTTTATCGTTAATTCCTACAAGTACTACATCATAACGTATATAGTCATTTTTTGGAAACATATTCTAAGCCAAGAAATAAGGTAGGAAATAAAAAGTTTAAAATGTTGGTATAATTTATACTTAATAAATTACCGAATTGTTCTTAAATACTCAATCTATAAACAATAATTTCAGGAAGAAAATAGCTCATCGTGAATTGAAGTACAATATTCAAATGAAAATGGTGTTGAAAGGGTTCATGATGGTATGAATGAAATCAGGTTTTGCTAATGTTTTTATATATTTAATTATATTCTTATTACTAGCTGTTAAATAATGGAATTGATTTTTTATATTTAAATTTGTATTGATATTTTCTATTACTTTTGGTATTATTTGAATATAACCTTATTTAATATGTTGATGAAAACTTACGATTATTTTAGCTTGTAACCTTGCTTTTGTTTAAAATATTTTTGTAATTTATTTTGATACTTTTTATTTTTGTTTAATCAAATTTGTATTTAATATGAAAGATGTAATACCTTATTTTTTGATAATAGATTTTTAGTTTTTTAGATTAATGTAAAAAATATAATAAACTCAATTTCTTACTTTTCTTTTGTTAACTTTCGGCACCATATTAACATTTGCATTATAAATTATCGGTCGTTGCTTGTATATAATAAAGTATAGTGTAAAAAATATAAAATTAATAGTTACCATGTAATATCAATATTGTTTATTTCCAAAATTCCTATGGGAGAGTTCGGGCAATAAAAATTCCAGGTAATTTTCTATCTCTAGGTACTAGTAAAGATGATATTAGAAAAAGAAAAATTGACATTTTTTGTTTAATTAATAAGTGATAATTGTTTTAACAACTTTAAATTTATTTAAATTTCGCAAATAAAAAACTTGAAGATTACTAGATTTTTTTAGAGGTGCTATCTACCCTTGACGCCAATGGATTAGCTTGGCACCATTTTTTGAGTTTTTAAATTAAAATTCAGATTGCACAATTGGTTTTTCAATATTTGACCTATTTTAGGAATTTTAACAAAATACTAGGACAAAATTTAAAATAATTACCAAATGATTTTCTAATGTCCATTTAATTTAAATACTGCCAATTTCTTATTAAAAATTGCCCGAATAATCTCTTACCTAAAAAAATGAGGTAAAAATATCGACAAGTCTTTTTTTATGTAGTTACAATTTCAACCTCAACCGGGGATAAATAAACTTAAAATTTCGACGAATATAAAACTATCATGCAAATTGCCGCAATTAGTCTTTAGAGAAAAATAACTATAATAGCAAAGCATCTTTAATCGATACGATCAATATAACTCATTTATTTTACTATACTATTTATAATTTGTACAGATAATAATAAAATTAGAGTATTTGTTTACAAAGAATACAGTAATCATATTTAAAATGATAATAAATAACATGAGATAAAAAAACTAAATTTGAGGTAAAAAAAATACATACATATAATTTTAAAAATATTCTATCTTACTTTAAATAATTAATAATAAACTATTTTAAAAAAAAGTAGTTAAACAATGTACGTTTAAGAGTTTCAGTTCAAATGATTGTCTTGTTTACATAATCTAATACTCCGTCTAAAATTTTAATAATGATAATCTAAGTTTTAATTTATTTTTTTTTAAATCTAAAATTTTCAGAAAATTTCAAAATGTCATAATAATAATTGTTGTTGTCTAAGTTTAATGAAAAAATAAGAGATTTAAATCAAGAAGTTACAAATAAATTGATAGTGCATTATATACAATTTCTAATAAATTTTCTTTTATCCCCCATCGATATCTTAATATATGAAGGGAATAATTCTGCTCCTAACGATTCTTCTGTATTCATTCCATGCTGCTCCGTATTTATTGGCGCACCATGCTTCATCCCTGATTTGCCTGTGAATGAGTAGGCAGGTCAAAAAGACAAAATAAAAGTACGGAAGGACATGATGGAAGCCTTTAATAGTATTATTAAAGAATATGTATATGTTAAACGTTATTTAAAATTTTTTATAATAAATGTAAAACAAGCAACGATCTTATGTATATCACAACATGACATTTTCTTTGTAAAATTAAAAATAACGATTACTTATGATCCAAATGAATTTAAAATTTTATACAAAAATTTAGATAGCGCATTTATCAAAATTATTTATCCAATTCATAAATGTTTTTAAAAAATTTTCTTGAAATTTAATTTTTCTTATTTTCAATTTAATTTGTTATACTATATTATATTCACATTTATATAATGTTTAAAAAAAGCCAACAGTTTTAATTACAAAAAATAGAAATATTGCCTAATATTATTCTGTGTAATTGTTTAATACCTGATAAAAGGCACATCGAGAGGGCAATTATAATATCTCCCAGATAGTTGGGATGCCTGACCAAGCCCCAAAAACCACCAGCTAATAGTTTTTTGCCCTGAACCCCTGTTGGAATTACCCTGTAGTCTAAAAATAAAGAATGGTATGGAAAAAGAATTATATTTAATTTTTATATGTGAGTTAATTAAATGATAAAAATGATGATAAATTTAAATGTTTTTATTTTTTAAAAATACTAACTCAAATAACTTACGAGAAAATTTGGGATGATTTGGTGATCTTGTAAACAATGCCTTGTCTGAGTTGGACATACGAAATATCGTGTAACCCACAACTAAGTATGATTTTTAAAGTTAAAAAAAATCAAATAGTATATAAATATGTATTTATTATCAAGAATTGTTATAAGAAACAGTGAATAGGAGATGCAACAATCAAATCCTCAGTTATAATTCCCAAAAATTGTAAAATATTCCCCAAAACCATTATCTAATTTGGAACTTTATATTAAAAAAAATATCCCAGATAAATTTCAAAAAAAACAACTTAAAATGATTTATATAAACTACTCTTAAGGAGAATTAAAATATTGTGATATGTAATCCCTTGAGGTTACAAATGTATTTTAAAACTTTTTGAAGGTATTACATACGTTTGAATATTCTGAGGAATTTAATTTCCTTCCAGGAAATATTCCTTAAATTTCAGGACTTTATATCTGTAGTTAAATACATATTCTATTGTCACATTAATATCATATATTAGTATTATATAACAATGGCTAGAGAAAGAGAAATCATCAATTTAGTTTTATTAATAATTTTGAAGATATATTTGAATTGAAATTTAGTGAATTTTATATATATATATTAATTATTCGACAAATTTTTCTGTCTTTTGTAATTCCTTGTGAATTTATATGAATTTTAATTATCGTGATTCAGGAATTGTATGTTTAGTTAGTAATTAAATTCGATAAAAATATAATTAACAATTATGAATAAAAATTCTATTTTAGTGTTGTGAACAATCAAAATATATATCTACCTTATTAATCTAAAAAAAAGCTTAGTTAATCAAAAAAATTAAAGAGTATATGATAATTAGAGTCCTAAATAATCTGAGTTTTCCTAATGTGCACTGTCGTATTTAATTTCCTAATAACATGAGCAATGATATAAAAAAAATAAAAATGTTTACCATAAAGAAATATGCACAATCCCAAATGCCATTTAGGTAAAATGACGGTATGCAGTGATAGGTACCTGGCTTGCAAGCTGTAAAGGAAAGGTACCCATACAATATCACCAAATAGAAGCATAAAACCAAAACTTTCGTGCCTAATATCCCAAGTAGATAAAACTCTGGCCTATGTAAAATAATAAAATATGAAAAGATTCCATAAAAACGGATTTACTGTTTATTGTAAACCTGATGGAAAGAAAAATAAATTTATCATTATTTTTACATGGTTAAAAAGGGGGGAAATTTAAAAATTATAATTGCTCAAACTCATGAATATTTCATAATCTATAATCGTAGCTGGATCATCAAAAATGCTCTAGTTTTTTATCTATATAATTAAATCACGTAAATAATTCGTTTTGATTACACATTTATAAATTTTAAATTTTTTTTCATATATAGAAAGTTGAAGATAAGAGATGTGCATAGTGATCTTAATGAATGCTATTTTCGTGAGAGGTAGATCGTGACTCATTGGGATCTCGAATAATTTTACCGTTATGAGTAAGGAGTAAAATTGTTGTATATTTTATTTTATGTTATAAATTTTGTCTCTATATATTTCTAGCATTGGTTTGTATTATTTCCTTACATCATGGGAATGGAGTTTATGAGGATCTAGATTATATGTTGATTATTGATTTTATAAACAATGATAAAAAAATAGATAAATATGTTGGAAAATAATAAATAAAAATTACTTTGTGTTTTATAAGAAAAATAATATAAATTAATTGGGTTTTAAAATAGTATGTATTTGTGAATTTAGAAAGCTGGCCTTTTTGTAGATAGAATAATTGGCTGATTTCTGATAGAATACTTTTTAGACCAACTCTATTTCGAGATTTTTCATAAATTAAAAACATGTAAAATATTTTAAAACTCATTTCATTTCATTTTCCTATAAAACACAATTCCAATATATGTATATCTATTTTTTTCATTATTAGATAAAATCAATGATTATATAATAACAAACAGTTATGCTATATATACATAAAACAATATAAAACAACTAAGATTACTTTAATAATATAAATACGATATAAAAATATGAAATTTACAAGACCCCCTTTTAAAGTAAATTCCCTCTATAATGAGCATAAATCCATATGCTTTATTTCATCTTCACAATGCTTGTACTTCAATCTTATAATCTGCTTCCATCTTTTCCATTATCAATCTAAAATCCTAGAAATACAATTTTCTCATCCTAGTTCATACTCACCCACCCTTCTTCTGATTTATTCGTGAAAATCTTTTTTAAAATTTACCTCTACCTAATCCCATTTCTTTCATCCCCATATTTGATTCGACTAGGGCTTCTAATCTTACCCAAACCTTTTTATCTATTCGAATTCCATACATTTTCAAAAATAATGAAAAGTCGTAAAGAGCGAAAAGTTCACGACTCCTCATGATTTAAAATTTCCCGCCCACTCATGACGATTTTCCGAATTATTCATGATCCAAGGCAAGATAGATCACGAAGCATACCTCTATAGAATATAGAGCATTTTAGCGTTGAGAACGATACACTATTCTGGGCAACGTTATAAATAAAAAGTATATGAACCTCGTTCCATTGAGCATCCAAAACGTACCAAGCGTGAAATAGGCAAAGAACTAACAAAGGAATGGATATAAACTTTCTATCATGAGTCTTCTGAGCCAAATAACAAAGGTCCAATATAACCTTTGAGAAAATTATCATATATTTTTTTATGAAAATAATTACACAAAAATAATAGAGAAGTTTTATATTGTATGCTATATGCATTGCATACATATATATTTTTTGATTTTTTAGTTTATCATGTGGCCAACTGTAAATTTGGAATATTTTCCGAATTTTGCCTTTCTCAAAAAGTTTTAAATTTTGAGTCTATAAGATTTATATTTGAAGTAAATAAAATCAATATTATCTGGATATTAATCTTCGTGTAGGCAATTAATTAGTTTATCACATTATTTATTAAATTAAAAGAATGGTATTTTTTACAATTTAATTAGTTTCTATTATTGAGTAATAAAGTATATAAAAACATTTTAAAATTCACTGTAAGATATTAGAGATTTGCAATGCCCACCCAGCCCATGGGCCGATCAACATCTAAATTTTTTTTAATGAGCCAGTCAAAAAAATTTCGGACCAGGTGGGGCAAAAAATTTTTATATACACATTTGATGAATTCTGATATTTCATAGAAGTAATAAGAGTGTTTTTAATTTAACACCCCAAGATTATAAATAGTTATTTTGGTGTTCAACAACATATATTTTGGTGGCCTTGTACTTAAAAAAAGATCTAAAACCGGGCTGGGCAAAAAAATTTCCAGGCAGGGCCAGGGCACAAACGAAATCCCCACCAGAGCCGGGCATTAGAATCTTGCCATTACCACCTCTATAAGCTATATTGTAATTTTCCTATGATTTTGGCAAAAAGAATAAAAAAATTGTAAAATTTATCAAAGAAACGAGAGATGGGATGATAAGGAATTCCCAATATATAAAATTTTAAATAATATCTTAATTTAGGAGAATGCTGAATTTTCAATGATATTCTGTTTAAAAAAAATGTAAAACGAAAAAATCCACAAATCAAAAAAAAAATTATCATCACAAATTTAAATGTAATAATTAAATACATGTGTTAAAAAAAGTATTTTATCAAAATAAAAGTAGATAATTAAAGTTGTAAATACAACAAAAACTAACCAGGGGTCACAAAGAGGTGATCACCTTTGGAGGTATCACAAATTTGTAGCTGAATATTTAAAAAATTTTTAGATTAATTTGAGAACAGTATGTTTGGGTAGGATTTATATTATTTTAACTGTAACGAAAATATAAAATAGATTTGTATCGTTTATCTTAAAAAAATAATAAAAGTTATTACCCATCCAATTAATCCGGGCCTCATTTCAAAAAACATCTTTAGGTCAAACATCTTACCAATTCTGGGATTTTTGAATCGGCCCATGAAGTAACGATATATAGTTTTACCTTTAAAAAACATATCAGGATTATAATTTTAATAAATATGTGCATTCTAAATACAAGAAAGTTAATAGAAAGAAACTATAAATAATAATTACAATTTCCTTTAATCTGAATCAATGGATTAAAACATCGATTCTCCAAAAAAAAATCCTTGGCCAAAAATTTAAACCACCAAAATAAATGGAAAAAGGATATAATTATATAAACATAACATTTGCCCTTTAAATCAGTTATGGTTACAATTTCAATTAGAGGTAGCGTTGTCAGAGATAGATTGAAAATTTTTCCCGTAGATGGCAAAATGGTTAGGACATCTATTTACCAAATCTCGAGGCTTACATAAAATATCTAGACTAAAATCATAATCGAATCGTTTTTAAAAAATCGACCCAAACCGGACCTTTTAACAATACTAGTTAGAGGAGGGGAGGGTATGAGAAGATATTTAAAGGATATGTCGAAGTTTCATTTATAGTTTATAACCTTTAACGTGCTCATTTTCCAGAATTTTATCAGTAGAATGGGGATCTTGCTTTTCCCAATCATTCGGCCTTCTGGTCAACAAGTAAAAGGAGAAGAGAAAGGTAAAAGCGATCGATAAACATGCCATGGGGATTACGTGATCGCAAATTTTCCACACTGGCAATTTATAAAATACCGCCATTCCAAAGAGTATCATGGAAATTAGGTACGCGTATAAGCCTTGGCGTGCCGTTTTTTTGTATATAGAAATAAATATTTAATAATTGATAAATTTTAGTAAAATTATAATTTTATAAAAAGGGTTTTGCAGTGATCTTTGATAATAAAAACCGTAGAACTATTAATAAATATCTTGCAAATATCATTGAAATTTTTTTTAAGCAAAATTATTTTATAAAAGGTCAAAAAAAGGATAAAATCTAACCATTGCATCGATATTTTAAAGACGGGCCATTGTAAAGAGGAAAACCAGTGGCAAGACTACCTATAGGCAAGCAGTAAAATATGGCATGAAACAGCATCCAACATGTAAAACACGTGAGAGAGAATGTGTCGAAGTAATGGATAGGTTCAAGGCGAAAATGAGGTACTTTCCATAAGCTAAAATATTTCTGAGTTTGTTTTTTTTATATAAAAAAAACTATTTACCATCGACCGATACATTTATGCATTATAAAATGTTAATATCGGATCATTGATAATCCTTAAAGATTTCATAAATTCATTTGAACTTTAAGAAGAAGTAGCAAATTTTAATATATCGCCTAATTACATTAACTATGTCTATACAAATACACACCAAGGTTTAAGTTTTTAAAAAAAAGCTAACCTTATCGCACAAATGAAGCAGGTATATAACGAAAGCTGGTAAGAAGGCGATGAGAATGGAGTTTCCTAAAGGCCCGCCAAATTCTAGCTTGGGATTCGTGTATTTGACGAGGTTGGATTTGGCAGATTTGTAAGCATGTCTGCCGACTTGTGATATCTCTTCCAATTCGTGCTAAGGGTATAAAATAATAAATCTGATTTATAAAGTTTGATATAAAGGAAAGGGATGAAAGAATAAGCAAGGGAGGTGCAAAATGTTACATATAAATGTTCTTATTATCTTAATCGCCAAATTTTAGGATACCGACTAAAATATTTAGGATAGAAAAAGAAGGAAGAGAAAAAGAAGGAAGAGAAAAAGGAATGCTATTATAAAAATAGTAACATCGATGATACGGTAATGCGATACTTTTTTAAAGCAATGGCAATAACCGTTAAATGAAAAAAAAAGAGTTTAATAAAATTACTACGTAACAGCCTTAGTACAATGTTATTTTTATTACAATTTTGCATGTGAATAATATCTTACCATTACCTCTAAATTTTGTTTAATTTGATGGCGATTTTTGAAGAGGGAATCAGGGGTGTCCAAATCAATTTTGGGTATAACGGAATTGACCGAATCTTTGAGTTTCTTTCTAAAACAAAATAATTCGTACTAGAATCGCAAAATTCATAGTGTTTTAAAATGGGGGATATTTGATAGATCTTACATTTTACCACTCCTCACTATAGTTGGGTAATGGCTAAATGTCGGCTAATTCGCTCAATCTTCAGGCGCCTGCCAGTGAAAATCTGTCAATATCAAGGCGTTTAAATTTATATTAGTTTCTTCCAAATTTGAGGAGCTATCTTTTAAATAAAAACCCCGAGGCCAAAGTGATAGTTTTCGGCTAAAAACTTGGTTTAGCCGTCTAAAATATAGTAATTACCCAACTATACTCCTCGCTGTTAAATATATTTACGATTGCTTATTATAATTAGGATATTACGTTTAAAAAATCTACCCTTGATTTGACTAGAATAATGAATTTAATTATTCGAGCAATTTCGGGACAATTAACAACGATGGGATCTACCCTTGATTTGACTAGAATAATGAATTTAATTATTCGAGCAATTTCGGGACAATTAACAACGATGGGCTATATATAAATATTATAAGAAAAATTTGTAATAAATTACATTTCTCTTTTGACCTGCTTGCCGGCAGATGCAGCAGCTGATATGGCCGAAGAAGCTCCTTGCTTTAAAAGGGGAGTAATTGTGGATTTTATTCTGTTACAATAAAAATAATATATTTTTTTAAAATTATTTACTCTTATAACTTTCATATTCTCTGTCCAAGTATATAAAAATTGTCACGTAATATATTAAAAAATTAAAACTGGGGACAATAATTTTTTTCCCTTTTCGAATAATATAAACATCTCTATTATTAAACTCATAAATAACAAAAAAAATAAACGAAGTGGAGTAAAACCTCATAAAAAAGGCTTGAATAGAATTAGTTTAATTCTAAAAATATTGAATAAAATACAATTCTAATAATCCATTTTATTCAAAAAAAAACAAATAAGAATATTTTGTAATTCATATAGGGCTAAATAAATTTTTAGAGATAAATTATTTCATGTCAGGACTTCCCGAACTAAATTCGGGTTAGTGAAAATCTTAAAAATAAAGCTCCCATCAGAAACTAAACCTTTTTTGCCGACTCGCAGCGAACCCGAAAAATTAAAAAAAAGAAAATGGTTTCATCGGGTTTAGAGGTATTCCTCTTTAATTGATTGTGGATTCATTATGGAATAAAAATTTTTTATAAGAAATATCGTATAATTTAAAAAATCATTGATGATACAGCTTCAGACTATATTCAGCTTTTAATGTAAATAATTCAAATTAATATCTTACGATATGGATTATATTTATGAATTCAGAGCTTCAAATTGCTTAATTGATGGATGCTTTCATAAGGAGACACCAATAGTGATAAAAAAAATTACGCATATCAAACCAAAAAAAATGCTTAAAAATTAAAATCTCCCGAAGACTAATTAACAAATTGCCATAAATAGCATTCAACATCCTGATACGGTATTATAATAATCTCAGATATGCAGAGGCTCTAACCATCACGATATTTAAATTTCATCTTGACCCACAAACATGAAAAGTTGAGCTCCTTTTTGGCGATCTTAAAAAAATTTCTACAAATAGTTTGGCATTTCAACATGGCTCGCTATACCAGAATTGCTAAATGGCTGAATTGTTTAGATATATATTTAAAATGATTTATTTGGCAAATTTATTATAATAACGTCTTATACGAAATAAATACATGTCCTTTTTAAAAACGATACTCTTTTTCGCGCGCTTTTTATTTTTTTTTAAGATCTCGCTTAACATTAATGTATATTATTTTCCGCAAAAAAAATTGCAGGACATTTCTAAACCTGCCTTAAATCCAAGATGGGTTCAAATTATTTTATCCTGAACATGGAGAACCCTACTCGTTAAAATATTATTGCAAGTAGATAGAAGCTCTGATAAACGCGTTACCGGAAAAATGGTAATATTTTACATAATTTGTATACTTCTCTCACTATAAAAATATATAATCGCATAACATCTAATCTAATCTCTATATTCAATAAGATACTCCCTAGCTGCGATTAAAACAATAATGCTTTTGTTCAATATTTTATTATTATAAAATAAATAAGTTAAGACAAGAAAAGAAAAGTGAAGCCATATTATATTTCTTTCGAATTTATTTCATTCATAATTTACAAAATTACACAACACACCAAACCCTTTTGTTATTATACATATTATATAATTACATAATAACTAACAATATACTCTTATATTTATCAGATGATAAAGGTTAAAATAAATGTTTTAAATTCCAACTCATTTTTTTTATCTTCATTGGAGGGAGGGGGTGGGGGAATTTAAAATCTCCATGCATTGAGGTTTTCGCCAGAATTCGGAAAACCAAAACGAAAAATGTTTTAAAAAATTAATTTCCTGTTTTTGGTTCGAGCAATTCTAATAACGATTTAGCAAATATCTTATAATCTATTTTTCTTTCTTTTTTTGGATTATGGTGACAACATTATTGTTAGATTTATCGTTTCCTAACCACAAATAATTTTTTTATTGACAAACTTTGGATTGCTTTTGCTGATATGCGGTGGTCGTCCTCTACTGTTTGATCTGGAAGGGGAAGGGGTCGTGTTATTTTTTCTTCCCCTACCCGGGCTGGAATTCCTTTTCCTGGCGGGACTTCGGGACTTTCTGGCAGCCCTCGGAACTCGTCCGGGACTCCTTGAAACTCGAGTCGACATTTAAAGAACTGATTTGAAAGAGATGTATAACCTTTAAAAAAAAAATAGATAAGATTATTTTTTTTAAAAAAAATCAACAGCAAAGAATAAGAATCACAAAAAAATAGAGCATACGAATTATTGTTTGATATTAGTGAAAGTCATGATCTTTGGTTAAAACCGATACATAAGACTGGACCATTTTCATCAAATAAAAACCGTAGTCCCAAATAAATAGGCCGGTCTTTGATTTTTTTTTGCTATTTTAAAAATATTTTTGCTTTTTTTAAATATAAAGAGTATTTTATGTTAGCAAAATCAAATTAGTGGCGTACCGATATTTTTTATAGGATTGGATGGGGCCGATATTTCAGCTTTTTAAAAATATCGGTTATCAGCCATTATTATAAAATTTTCCGATCCGATCCGATAAATGGCGTCTTAATTTTTTTTTTTTAAATTTCAAATTTTATAATATATTTGTTTATTACTTATTATATAAATAGAACATTATTATATAAATAAGTGATTTATTAATAAAAATATTTAATATACTTTTATATTCATGAATATAAACTATAACTTATCATTATAATATATTTAAATGACTTATGTTATGGTATAGTTAAATTATTGTTATACTATTGAAATGTATATGAAATGGGTAGATGTTTAGTGACGCAAAATCGCTGAATTTGAGCCGATTTTTAAAAAAAGGCTACCTCAATATTTTAGTCAGAAAAATATTGCCGAAGCTCAGAGATTTCGCGACTAGAAGTCCAATCCTTTGTGCCATCTATAAGCAAGTCTTCAGGCATGCGTATTTTCTAGATAAAATACTAAGTTAGCCGTTTTTAAGGATCGGCTCAAATGGAGTGATTTTGCAGCACTAGATGTATGCATTAAAAATTTAAAAAGTAGCATGTTTACAGAATACAAAATCAAATGTAATATCGGATAGGAATGGGCCATTAATTTAATAGTGTATCGGTTTTCAAAAAGTTGTATTGGTACACCCCTATCTAATATAATAAATAATACAAATATTTCATTTAGAAGTAAAATACCTTTTTGTTTTCATAGTATATTGCAAAATAAAAATGAACCAAAAAAGAAAAAGAATCACAAAAACTAAAGTAACCCCTCTAGAAAAGTAATATGAAATTTACACAAAAATTATAAGAATTGAATGGGGCAAACTCAAATATTAATAAAAGACTGGTCCGGACAGCTGTCCTAGAAAAAATACCGGGCCGTCAATCAGTCAGGTCCCTGTGGAAGACTGATAGGACCGGGCCTTTACCTTTACTATTTGATATTTGGGTTTAGAGTTAAAATTTAGGAGGCGAGAGGTATACTCTTTAATTAAGTGAATAATTAAAACTAAAATTTTAAATAAAATATTTCCATAATATGATCACAATTTTTTTATAGAATCTTTTAAAATTTAAATTAAAAATATAGAATAGAAATTCTTATATATATAATATAGTCAAAGGCATATTCCGACAATCGCATAATTACTTTAGTCAAGTCGCATAAAATCTAATCATACATGCGCCTGAAAAATTGATTATTTACATTTTTTTTAAAAAAAGTGGCTAAATAAATTATTAAAGTTTTAGTAAATGGCACAATTCGTTTGTTTACATCTAAAAGTCTGATTTTTACTCCATTTATTATGAAACATGTGATAAGAAAATAAATATGAAACACCTCTTGATTTTTTTAAAAAAACTTTTCCAATTCTTAATAGTGATATTTATTAAATTAAAAAAAATAGGGAGGAAATTTAATAATTTTTTTGAGGCCATAGGCTGGGTCTATGTTGAAGCCCGGCAAACCCATGGTTTGATCTTACGGGTAACAATTTGGGCCGAGAATGTGCTGCAGTGTCTAATCATATACCCAATTTCCTATAACGATTAGATTTTTTCTAGTTTTTTTTAATATTTTTTGGTAAAAGCTGCATTTTGCTATGTGTCAGGAAATACGTTTTCAGATTTTAACAGCTCTTATTTAAGGTAATTTTATGGAAAAGGTTGATTTGGAAGATCTGCTAAGCTCACCATAAGCCTATCCAGGATTTTCGCGAAAAGTGGGGGGGGGGGCTTATGGGTAATTTTTTTACCATAAGTTTTATCGGATATTTTTAAGCTCACTTTTAAGAAGGTCTTTAACCGGATTACAGTTTAAAAAAATAAACAATTTCGGTTCTTCAATTATATGTTTAAAGGTTTAGAGATATGAATTAGGGTTTAGATTAGGTCTACTAAAATTTAATCCTTTTTAATAATAACCTGTCAAACCTGACGACAGGTCATGTTTATAAATAAGCGGATAGAAATTTTTAATAAATCAGCTGTTATAAGGGCAATTTTCTTGAATTGTACCATAATCTATGTTTTTTTTAAAAAAAAATGCTTCCCTGTTTAAATTTAAAGTGACATTTTTTATTTAAAAAAATGCGAAAAATTAATAAAAATAATTTTAAAAACGAACTATTTAGCGTATAATGTTAAAAAACGTTTACCCATTTAAAATAAGTTATACTTAAAAAATGGAAAACGAAAAAAGCTTAAATTTGACTGAGGAAGGCGAGGGGGTGGTGTGTAGGGAGGATATTTCCCGCTCCCCTCTCCATATTGGTTACACCAAATGTGGCCCACAAATCCGTAATAAATATTTTGAACAAATGGCGAAAGTTTGTTGTACTGAGGGAGGATTATTGTCAATAAATTTAAAAACTTGACCTGAAGAGTGAGATATCTATAATTTTTATGAAAGTAAATGTGTTATTTATTAGAAAATAGATAATTCGATACTATTTAAAAATAAATGACAATGGAAAAATGTGAATTTAATCTTAAATTATCGACTGTTTTAAAAAAAGAAAAAACAAAATGATAAGAGGGTTTGAGTAGCCATGTCAAGCCATTAAGTTCATTTATTTTGAATTAATTAGTTCAGAGGTATCCATGCGCAATCGATTAGTATTTTTTACAATTTTGTTTTCTTAAAATATTTATAAGGAAGAAAATAATTATAATAATTAAACATAATATTTTAATATTTAACCACAAAAAAAACATATTTTACAAATAGATTGAATGTGTGGATATCAAAGGATCTGGTTCATGCCGACTAGCATACATACGAAACATGACACATACATATCGCGCATAGAATTAAAATTATTACCTCATATTGCGTGGGGAAAAAAATAAGGTTCGTACCTACAAACAATTCATAAAGGGCTAATTTTTTAAAAAATTCATTTGATGAATCCATTAAATATCCAATCAATAACCGTGCGCAGTGTTACCAAGGAAAATTTTAAAAAAAGCCGATATTATAAAATCGATATCAGTAATGCTTTTTTTAAATAAAAAATTATATTATATTTAAATATACACGAGGCATATGGTAGATAGTTTGTTTTTTGAGTAGGAATATACATAATGAGAAAGGAAGGAGAGGGGATGAAAATGAAATCAATGATTTATGTATTTTTCTTGTTATCATTATCGTGTGATTTTTTTAAAAAAAGCCTACCTTAAACTCTACTAATGATATTGACAATATATAATTCATATTTATTATTAATTTTATTATAAAATATATTGTTTTTTAAAAATTAACAGATAAGGTAAGGGATAATATATGTACAAAATAAAACAGTTTTTTGCTTTTGAAAAAAATTAGGGGGGAGGAGGAGGGTTGGATTGTGGAACTGTATTGTTTTAAGGGACAAAAAAAATAAGAAAAGTTGGCGTTATTTTATTCATTATAAATATGTGAAATGAGATTTTCAAATTTGAGATAGAAATGTTATCAACTTAAAAAAACTACCTCTCAGTTGATACACCTCTCCTAACTTGAATAACGAGCAGATATATTTATAACGCGTTAGTATTTTACTCATCACATGATCTAGGCTAGAGGCTATGTGATCCGTTAAATCAAAACAAAAAATATTGGCTTCGCGAGAGCTAATATAATAATAGCAGGCTAAGTTAGTTGAACATTTAAGCGATGATAATCAGTAGTAGTTAAAGGGAAAAGTTATAGAAATAAGTGAGAATGTGAAATAAATCAAACCTTAGACATTTTCCAATTGAATTTTAAAAAACTGATATAAAGATAATTGTCGTTTATTTTATGTAATGAGTCATATTTGAATGTTATATTAGTATAAATTTAAGTTATTTTCAAAAATTTCTATAAGCGCTAACCTTAAAGGTCTGCAAAAACTGACCTACATACGACCAAGTGATGGATCGGTAAATTCAAATTAGGTCGGGTTTGTAATATTTTTTTTTGGCAAATTTAAATTTAATCAGTGATGTTATTCATGGTTTTTCTAAAAACAATTTGGGTGAGGAAAAAATGGCCTCTCGGCATTTAGCGATGGAACAGATTCTTAATTAAGGAACGTAAAATAAATCAAGATTTTAAAAATTGCGATGTCGGTCATTGATATGGTAACACCTCTGATAAATTGCATTTTTAATATTTAAGTGTCAATTAGGAATTTTTTTAAAAAAATTGCGTAATTACGATATTCGGTCATCTCAAACCACATATTTTTTTAATATTTTGTTTTTTAGCGTCAAATCTGCCAATAAATATCGGGTAAATATAATTTAAAGGAAGACTCGCAGTGTATAGGTCTGCATTAGGCGAAGTTTTCACCAGCCCATACTTTGAATGGGTATGGTCGGGTTTTTTTTAAATATTTTTAACATTGGGTGGGTAGCGGGCGAGTTAAAAAAATTTAAGTAATGGGCAGGCGTAGGCGGGTAAATTTTTGATATTTTTCAGGCGCAATGAACAGAACAGACTTCAATTTATTAAAAATAATAGTTTTATTTCATTGCAATTAATGTTTAATTAAAAAGCAAATAAATAAATTAAGAGCCAAACCAGCCATTAAAATAATTTTTAAACATTAAGCGGGCAGGTTTGAGCAGGCGGTTAAATTTTTTAAAAAAATTTTAAGTGAGCGGGTGGGCGGGCTCCCATTGCAGACATCTATCGCAGTGTCTAATTATATTAATTAACCAGGAAACTTTTTAAACAGGAAGCTATAATTTTTTTTACACGTAATGTAAATCAAAACGATAACACAAATATATCACTTATTCACATATATTCTATCATATATTAATTGATAATTTTTTCTTGAGATAAAATAAATAATTCATTTTTTTTAATAAAAAAGACAAAAAAACAAATAATAAGGGAAGATAAGTGTATTTTATGGTGGTCAACAACATCAAAATCACTGGGGCGTAGGATACGTAAAAATTAATAAATAAAATTAATATGGAAAATCAAATAAATTATACAATTTTAAACAATTAAATAAAAAAAGCGCGTTTTTAAACGTTAAATAGAATTTTTTATTAATTTTTTAAAATGTATTTAACTGGAAATATTTGAGATAATTCAAGGGATTTTAGTTTAGATTTTAATTTGAGATTGAACTTTAAGAATAATTTCCAAACTGAAAAAAAATATTGAAAGATGTAAGATCCTAAATCAATAGTTTTTATTATTAGAGATTAAAATTTTAATCAATTTTTTTATATTTAATTTCATAAGCATTCTTCAATAAAATAATTTAATAAATAAGAATGAATGAATATAAGTTACATGTAAGGAAATCATTAGTATTAAAATGGAAAATAAATATATTATTATTTCAGTCAACTTCTATATAGTATTACTGATCTACATATTTAAAATCATTAGATAGTAAAAATTATTATGGATTGAGATATCATAAATTAAACTAGTATTAAAATTATGAGTTTACAAAATATAGACTTTAAAATAATGTATAAACTTTATAATTATAAAGATTATAAATAATTTCAAATACTACTGGCACTTAAGTATATATATTGCTTAAAATAACAAGAAATTTATTAATATCTACAATATATCGTATAAATATAGTATTTTACTTGCTAATACAAATTAAATTCGGCGTTAGAATGGAATAATATTATTTCATTGGTTGATAACAAATAAGACATTCATTTTTATTTGTATAAAAATTATTAAAAACTTAAAAATAATTTATTTTAAAAAAAATGTACATTTCGATTTAATAAAGACTTCTTTCTTGAAACAAAAAAGTAATTAATTTATATGATATATAAAATAGTTTTATAAATTTATAATTAGCACGACAGAATATAAAATGAGTTACATTTTGTATCTTTTATCTTGGTAAATAGATAAACTGTGTTTATAAAGGTTACGATATAAATCCGCCCTAAGTCCCCAAAGATCCAAGCACAGCCAACGGATGTAACTAAATATTATTTTATTTTTTTGCTACATAGATGATTCCCATTTTATTCTAATTATTCTTCTCAACTAACTATAATGCAATCTCTGCTTACCCACTATTTGCCATCCATCAAAATTTGTGATTAAATACTGTTTTCAATTCAGCCCTAATATATTGCTTATTCATTCTAAGAGTTTGTAAGAGAAATAAGATTTTTATTTTACCCAAGTATAAAAAAAATTTAATTCATAATTTTACTGCATATATCAACATCCAGGATCTTATCAAGTTTGTTTATAGTATTAACAAGATAACCTTTTTAATCTTTTATTATTTGTTCGATTTGACATTCCAACCTAGTGTTGTGAAATAGCCTGATTTTTACGAACAGCCGGAATAAGATTATATTCAAAATAATATTGTGTTACCCTGGTGATTTTGCTCATAGATGGCAGAAACGTTTGGGCTTCTACTTGATAAATCTTGAGGCTTATACTAGTGTTGTTAAACGGTTCGTTTTGAGTCGATTTTCTAAAACGGTTAACTCAGTATTTTAGCCAGAAAAATATTGCCGAAGCCTCAAGATTTCGTTAATATTTGTCTACTTGTTCCTTCTATGAAAAAAATCTTCAGGTTTGCATAGTATTTTTCGGTGTAAAATATTGAATTAGTTTTAAAAATAGGCTCAAAACGAGCCGTTTAACAACACTAGCTTAAACGATATTATTATGGCTAAAATCTTAATCGGGCCGTTTTTAAAAATCCAAATCGGGCTTTTTAACAAAGCTATTCCGACCCATAAGAACATAAATGGATTCCATCAATGTTCACTTGATTTAAAAAAATTCGTGGGAAGACGATTACAGAGGAAGGAGTGATATTTTAATCAGGATTACCACAGCATAAACTTTAAGTCGAGCTTATTATTTTAATATGAAATTTAAATCATCCCTTTGGTTTGATCAAAGGGACTGGGACAAATTATTTATCCCTCTTTGAAGCCATATATTAGAGGTAGATTATTTTCTGGTCAGCGTCTATACGAGTACGACAGATAATTTGTTAGAGGCAAACAACCTATCTCAAAGAAAACCCTACACCCTTCCCCCCTTACTAAAAAAATAGCGGGCTTTTACCGCGATATTTGTTAATCTATTATGCTATAACAACCACATGATATTCCTAATAAAAAAATAATGAGATACCATTTATAACCTCCAAACAAAATTCTAAACAAAACTCTTTCAGGCCTCATGAGTTTGTCTAGGAATAGCAAATAACCATTTGTTGGTGATAATCATCGTTGTTATTTTAAAAATTAGACATGTGCTTGTTTAAATAAAACTGTGCTAAAATGATATCTATAAATGTATGATTTAAATTTAATTACCCAATAAAAGAGGAAGGAATATCTGTTCCTATTAATCTCGGCAGTATATTCTGTAAGAGGGGTAGGTTGTAGTTATAATTAGTGCATCAGTAAATTTCATCAATTCGTATAAATCGGAATATAATTTTTAAAAAAAAGGTATTTTTATAATTAAATGTTTATTTTAAAATAATGTCAAAATTATTCATAGCTGGCTCTGCGGAATGTTTGCTTGCCTATCGACTAAGAATACCAGTGATTTTTGACCACGCCAAAGCCAAGTGTTGGGGCTGATGTAAAAATTTGGCGGGGCAACATATTTTTGATTCTTATTAAATATATACTCATTATTTATGAATTATATTTATCGAGGAAAAATAATTAAATGTTCTTTTAAATGGTTATTTTTATATAAAAAAAAACCTGTGTTTTTCTTAACAAGAAAACATTAAAAATAGTTTAAGTAAGAATATTATAATAAAATAGTTATTAAAAATTTCTATACACCTATATTTGGAATGTTATACTTTTTTTCGTTTTAAAATGAACAATTACATGTTTTTATTCCAGATCACTAGGTATCAAAAAATATCTTGATTAAAAAACACTCCATCATTAACTTGTTAAAATTGAACTTACAATCTAAATAATCATCCCATTTTATATTTCTTCAAATTATATATAAATACCATTTAATCTGATTAACGCAAAGAAAATATTTTCTAATAATTGACATAAGATTAATTTTCTTTTAATTACTAGGCCGCCAAGACCATGTTAAGCTTGTTAGTACTATATTTGGAATCCATTTCCTTGATGAGATCTTAAAGTTTATTTTTCATGAAATTATAATTATTGTTCTTTTAACTTAATTATTGCCATTTTAACGTAAATAAAATATAAAAAGAATCAAAAATATAAAATGGATGCTGAATTAAAAAAAATCCTAATACAAAATAAAATATATCCTTATCATTAGCCCTTGGTAGTGCAGGTAGAAAAAAAATTCCGCAAGACTAGCTGAGGTTCCTCAGTCCCCAAATTACAAACACTATATCTTATAATCAAATTAATTTGTAGCTTTCATATTTAAAAATATATTAAAACTTTAACTGTTATTTTATCATTACATGACAGCCAGCGTCTACATGACAGGATTTTCACTGGATGCAAACCCCCTTCAAAAACCTTAGCCTACCCCCTAAAAAATCACCGCCTTCGGCGGCGGTATCTTTTTATCTATTTTCACTTATTTATTTATTGATACTCTTTTCAAAGAATTTATAAAGGATAACTTAAATTAATTTATCTCTACTACCAACTATCGATATTTTGTGAATATAAATAATTTATTTTTTAGATAATAAATTCAATTAAAACCTCCATTATTTACAATGAATTAATTATTATGGCATTATGAGCTTGCTAAAATATCTAAATCTTTTAAATTACATTTTAAAGGATAGTTTATTTGGAAAACAATGTGTATGATTGTTTGCAATATATAGATTTGGTCGATGAATTGTATTATAATAATACTACAATAAAAGTATTAATTTTTACAGCAATAAATTTTGTCCCATTTCATCTCAAAATTTAATAGATAACCCCCCAAAAAATTTATCCTACCCCCATTAGAGCAGCTTACCCCCTACCCCCTCAAAAAAATAGGATGCAAACTGTTCCTACCCCTCCCGCTCATGTAGACGCTGAAGACAGCGATTGTAGTGAGTTAAGAAAGTGATAAATTATTTTAAAATGTCACAATGAAATATACAAATAAAATTGATAATGTAGAATGTTTAACAAAGGTTTAAATAAAATAACTTTTAATTATATAAAATTATATATAAAAAAGTTTATTTATGGCTAAAACAGATGAAAAAAAGTTACAGATGACCAGGTAAGATCTATGCCGACCCCGAGCTCCAAAAAACCTTTATAACTCATTAACTATTAAACAAAATCAAAATTAATTTTGCACATATATATTACCTATAAATGTTAAACTACTAAATGATTAGGCAAAAATCTCAGGAATAACGTTTCTAAAATGACTGAGGTCTGCATAGTCCCACCTGTGCAATGAAGGGTGAAAAATAAAAACAAATCCCAATAATTAGACATTTAGTGTTGCAACAAATGTTTGCAATATATATTTCCAAATAGAAATTGATAAAGATAATGCGGTTGGGAACAAATATAATTCATTTTCAGAGTAATATTTTTAAAATAATCAAATTGTTTCTAAAAATATCAATATATCCTTAAAGAGACATTTGCTAGACAAACATTTCTTTCTTTCTGTCGTAAGACAAAATTTAAAATCATTTTTTATTCAAGTAAATTGTAATATCTTTTAGACTTAATTTGAAAGTTGCATTTTTTCCGTAAAAATTATATTATCGAAATGTTTTATTTGCATACTAAAATAAGATAATTTTTTAAAATTTATAATTGTACTTAGAAGCAATAATTATTCCTAGCGACAGCACCAAAAAAATTTCAGAAATATAAAACAATGGAAATATATTAGGTTTAAAATATCTTCTTAGATAAAATCTTAAGGCTACAAAATGATATATAAATTGTAACACTTTCATTTACTTAAATCACAATTTGCGCGATTTTCTACTTTAAAGGGTTAAATATTTGAATCGGGTTTAGCTAGCACTCTAAAATCTCAAAAATTTAGATAATATATAATAGTCATGTCAATATTTATTCTAAAAGGACCAACCGTCCTAAAATCTTGTTCTTCTTGGTTGAGATTTGTTTTGCACAAAAATGTAAGCGATAATAACAAATTACAAGCGAATTCAAATGGCCCATTTAATATTTTTTTAAGCTATAAATAATTGGCAATATCATCAAACATGATTTTTTTATTATATTCATAAACAAATTCTATTATGTGCGTCTTAATAATTATAATATATTTATTTGTATAGGGTATATATAAAAAAAATATTCATTCTTTTGAGTGCCATTGAGATATATATATACTAAACAGAATGTTATAAAAAAAAATAATGGGAGAGAGCTTTAAATTGAATCATTTACCAATTTTTTTTCTATTAACTCTTTAAAAAAAAATTTTTTTTCATAAGGATTGAAAAAGATGGGATGTGATAATGTAATTCGAAAAATAAAAAATTATAAAGGATTTATCACCGATATGATATATATATATATATCATATCTAAGATTATTATATTGTTTGTTTCACAGAAAGAGAGAAAAAACGATTATTTAATTATGTGGTGCCAAATTAATTTACTTAAAATTAACACCCCATCAATTTTTTTAAAGTTTTATCTCTAAAATAATATATAAATATTTATAATTTGAGCTAGTTTAATTAAGTTTTCCGTTCAGTCATCAAGTGTTAGTGACTTTGGTAGCGGGTATATGGCCAGAGTCGCCTAGGGCTCTTAATAAAACTCTACCATCGGGTCGAATCGTTATCATGGTTATGCTTCCGTTATTCAGGCTCATCCTTAGCCAGGCTTGAGCCGGGAGTTGTAAGGCCCTTTTTATAAAATATTTATTTATAACCATAATTAAAGAATACTTGATTCTTTTCAACCCTTTTTTTTGTATGTAAGGAAATAAATTAGAGTAATTCAAATTCAAAATTATATAAAAACACTCATAATATTTAAAAATACCTAAAAAAATATTTTAAATTAAGAATTTTTTAAGAAAAATATAGTTATTTCCGTGAAAATAAGCAATCATATCTAAGAAGGCACCTATGATATCACTTAAGTAGTTATTGACCAGGTTATATGTGAAATGCCGTATTAAATGACCTGTTAAAAACAAACGGTTCTAACTGTATTTTAGGTCGAAATCAAGTTAGGGCCCATGTTACATTTCAAACCTATGTTTTACATGCCATTCACTAGATATTTTTCTTAATTAAAAAAAGATATTAAAACCTGCATACAAAGTAGCGTATAACGTTGGCGTGGCAAACGATGATTTCGTAGCTATCCTGCGTCTGTTCCGGGTGAGCCCTATGAAAGTATTTTCGAAAAGCGGCTTCGATTCTAATGCCTTGCTGGAAAAACTCCAATATGGTTCGAGTATAATTTTTTTTTATTTATTTTTTTTGTGTGTGAATTATATTTTATTTTAGAAATCCACCTTTTTTATATTTGAGTATGTAAAATATCAAAGACATTAAAACTCAATTTTATTCAGACCAGATCCAATATGGATAATATAGAACTCCTGGACGGGCCTGTATATAAGTGCCTTTTGTATAAATAACAAATTCACACATTCAACAATTTGTAGTGGCAAATGATATTAATACTCACCCAGATTGAGGATACATTTTTGTGTACATAGACTAAAATCTGCTGTAGTCAATTTGATTGGCTGGAATAAACGGGATTGAAAAGTATTTAGTTTTAAATTCCTGTCACATTTCGTTGACTTTCAATGTATGCACACTTTAATGGATAAATCATCGGTCTAGGTTAGTAATTAATATCATCAAAACATACCTTGAATTGGCCCAGAAAGATTTTTGGGTGGGAGAAATTAGCAAAATACTTTTAGGTGCTCGATTGGAAGTTTTAAAAATATTTTTTAATGATAATTAGGGAGATTTAGCAGTTTTCCTTCATAAAGAATTATTATGAAAGAAGTTAAAGAGATAATAAAGGGGACTAAGCCGAAAAACCCGATGTGGTTCGGGCCAATCTCTATTAAAGAAGACGTATTTCATAGCTAGAGGAAATAATATTTAAAATGGGGGGAAAATGATAAATTAATAAATATGATATAAGATAAACTCAAAGACAAATATTATATTTTTAAATTAAATAATATTTAAACATTGAATATTAAATAACATTATCATATTTTTTTTTTATTTATAATTATTTTTTCTTATTAATATATAAAAAAGTAGCAAATAATAGTTTAAGAAAATAACATAAATGATGATAAACGTGAGGATTTCATATATATATGAAATATTAAAACTCAAAATTATTAGTTCATCATTTTGCGTAAGTTTTAGTACAAAGGTAAATGTCAGAAATGATAGATCACCAATGTAGGATGAGTGATTATCATCAATGCAAGGTCATTATCCATCTAGTCCAAATCTTGCTCCGATATCTTTTCATATTCTTACAAAAATTTGGGGTTTCGCTAATTTAAGCTATGGTTTTTATTTTTAGAATGACATATTTTTTGATTAAAACTTATATTGGACTATATATGATACGATATAATTATTAAAAAAATAAAACTTAGAAAACTCGCAATATTTTTACAGAAAATTTAAAAACGAAAATCAAATTTTAACAACTTTTTTGCACTAGAAAATTTATAACACATAGCAAAAAATAACAAAATAATAATCATCAAATCATTCCTAAAATATAAATAACTTGCCAAGTTTATTGTTACTGATAATTCTATTACTATTAATATAAAACCGAAAATATATATCAAATTTATTTTATATAAAATAAATTCCAAATAAGAAGGTGAGAAGGGAATTAATTTTCTTCCATTTTTAAAAAAAAAAGGAATCTGGCAATTTTAAATGACGCAAGGCGTCAATATATAAACGGAAATCATTTTAACTGAAGCTTCCGGTTTCCAGTGCTTTATGGCGGGTTCGGGTGGCACGGGGGCGCCTTCTCGTAACAAATCGCAACTTACAAGAGGCAAATCTTTGAATATTTATATATATATATAAATATTATATTTTAAATTATGAATTTTAAAATATAATCACAATATTATTAAAACTAGATTTTCGCCTCACAAACTGTTTTCATTCATAGTCGCTTGAGATAACTCAATTAATATATTGGCCTAAATTACATTAAATTTTAAAAAAATGTTATGGATAAACCGATAACGGATAAATAACCTGGTCGATTCTATGAAAAATAACTGGATCTTAAACTGACTCCTATAATTACTTTTCTTACAAAATTTCGTTTAAATATACTTTCGGACCGATTTTTAATTTTTCTTCATGTAAAAAAATAAATATTCCATAAAGTTAGCAAATTTTTTTTAGAGGTTAAAAAAACCTTTTGAGTGGTACCTATAAAAATTGGTCATTATAATAATGATGCTATTGAATCTCTAAGTTGATTGGTCTCGTTTAGGAAAAAAAGGAAGCACAACGCGATCTGGCGTATGCTCGAAATATATTTAATTAATGAATTAGAGAATAAATAATTTATGATTATCCTGGACTATTTTATACAGGATTTGAAATCGAACCGAGAAACTGGTACGAACCGTTATAATTTTCTGTCCGTAACCGTTGTAAAGAAAATATAGAAAGAGCGAACCAAATTGTTATAAATATTTTTGAATCAGTTTAACCCAGTTCGTAAGGGTTTTTAAAAATATTTTTAAATTATTAACCTAATTGAAATTTTAATTTTACTTGGGGCCAATTTAAAATCGTATCTTTTTCAAATTAAAATTTTTTTTACAATTAAATCGCCATTATTTTCATATCAATCAATACCAAGTTTTTGTTTTTACTTTATACTCAATTTAATAAAGATAAAGCAAATTCTTTAAATTAAATAAGGAATTATACAAATATAAATTAAAAAAGATTTTTCCCCAAGATTATATGGCTTGTTTAATTTTTTTTAAATATCAAATTTATAAAAGAAATGAACCGAAAAGAACCGTCATATATATTCTAAATCGAACCGATATTAATTTCTTCATGAAAACCGAAATGGAATAAAACCTTTATAAAATAAACTAAAAACCAAAATGAACAGAACGGCTATACTTAACCTTTCGCCTAATTTTATAGATTATTTTATTGATAAATTATTTTAAAACTAAAATATACACAAACACATTTTACAATTTTAGATTACTTTTAAATATTATTTTATTCTATTTTAAATTTAAATAATTTGTCAAGATATCCTCCTTTTTGCTTTTATAAGAAATTATATGTTATTATCTATTTTTTTAAAAAATAAATATAGTTTACCGATTGATTCTCTTGATCTTTGAGAATCGATATATTTTTTTGAACAATATTTTAATATAAGATTAGTCGATAAATTTTAATATGATAAAAAATTTGGTTCCCGTAAAAAAAAATGACGCGAGCATTTGTAGGGTGAATAGAACTCAAATTTTAAACGGCCTATAGGGTAATTCGATGACAAATCGACAAGTGATTCGGGCAATTTGGTAAGAAGGTTAAATAGATTGTATATTTTATATTAATCTAAATCTTAATGCCCTAGCTCTAATATATCCCGTATATGTGCCTTCAAAGTTCAATTTTTAACGAATCTCAAAATACTCAAAATAGTTTGGGTCTATAGTAACAAATAATATATCATAATGTAGCGCTTAAAATTCTCCTTAAGAAAATGCAAAATTTATTTAAAATATATTTTAAGTGTGGTAAAACAAAAAATTTTTTTAGAAAGTGTCCCATTTATAACGATGGACTTATGAAATATGTTTATTGCCAATATATTTACATATTTAAGTAAAAATATTAATGGAGAAAGTAAAAACTTTAATTTTATTTAGTTTTTTATAATTTATGAATAAAAAAATTAGTTATAAAGGGCGTTTGAAACGATGAAACTCATCAAATATGTTTATTACAAATATATTTAAATATTAAAGCAAAAATATTAATTAGGAAAATAAGAATTTAAATTTTATTTAGTTTTTATAATTTAAGGAATAAAAAAATTAATTATAGATGACGCTATTTTTAAAGATAATTATAATGTATCTTATAAATAAAAGTATGCATTTTATATTATAAATAACCATAAATATATCTATAAGATTATTATATACATTAGAAATTTTTTAATTAAAAATTTTTTTATACCCCAATAAAAAGAAAATATATTATAATTATCTTCATCGATAGCAATTGATATTTTTATTTTTACAAAAACCAAAATTTAAATTCTTATTATCTTCGTTAATATTTCTATTTAAATATATTCGTAATAAACATAATAGATGAGTTTCATTGTTTCAAATGTCCTCTATAATTGAATTTTCATCAGTATGTATATTTAAAAGGGCTAGCCTATTCAATCTTTATTTTTCCAGAGGTAGTACTTCTCATGTATTTTTTTTACTAAAAGAAGAAAATGTTCTTTCATTGGTAGAAATATATAATAATTTTAATATATTAGGAAAAAATTTCAAATGTGTCTGAAATAATAAAAAGCATCTATCGCATTTTTGAACATTATCAACCATAGTTAATATTTTACATCACATTTGGTATTCAGCAAGTAATGCATCAAGGGATAGTTTAATATCCTTACAATAAAAATCTGCCAAGATTTGAAATAGATTCTGCGGTGATAATATTTGCAGATATGTAAGTGCTGCCTAATGAATCATGAATTTTTCATTCATTTGATTTATAAGGGATAAAAAATTTTATCTTATAGTATTCTTTCACTGACTCTTTAATAATATTGGAGGGGATGCATTGACTATGAACTTTTAAGATACTCAAATATTAAATAAGATTAATATATCGTGTGCACAATGGCATCTGCTTAATGCCTACAATATCTATTGCCTCATCAGTTAAGATGAAGAACATGGTTCTGGTTCGAAATTTATTTCATTAATTTTTATAAAATGAGATTATTAAAAACATCATAAATTTCATTCTGGGGCATTCCCATTTAATTTTTTCAAAGATTAACAATTTGTTTTTCATGGATGTCAAAAAAAGATTCCTCCAGCATCTTTGTATCATCTGAATTGGAGTCTTAACAAGACAGTTGAGCTTGACTAAATTTCTTCCAGCATATCTTGGACCAAACAGGATACATATCTTGTAATATGCCCCATTATCCCTGATAGAGTAAGGATTCTGATTCTTATTAATACTGATTAAAAAAATGGGGGTCAATCAATATATCCATTCTTTAAATAAAATGCAAACATCGAATATTAATTTTTTTGAAATATTATACTTTAGTTTTGCAGTGGAAAAGTTTAAATGGTAGATAAATATAACGCAAAGGAAAATTTGAAATCGATATTCAAAGATTAAATAAGTTACGATTTATTTCTGCTGTGAGTGTGATAAATAAATGTAAATTGAAATATATATGCGACAAGAGGTAGCAATGATTATTATAAAATATAAATTAATTACAGTAATATTTTTGAAAAAAATCTTAGCCGGCATCTGCATTTTTAGTCTGGGAAGGGAGGGGTTGTCCCCTTGCCCTACTTCTGCTGAGCACGCGTCTGAAATTTTCAGATAGGTATAAAAAGAATATATATCTAAAATTAAAATCGCATGTAGGTCATATAGGTTAGTTAGAACATATTTTATAAATATAATTGTTTAATTATTTATAATGTTATTTTAAGAATACATAATGTTATAAAGCTATTTAAAAACATTTTTTTGAGAATTAAGATTTAGAGTGACTTTAAATGAAAGTAAAAAAAATAATTCCAAAATTCAAAACAAATATAGATCAATAGAAATTTTATTTATTAAGTATTTTTAAGACCTCATTCAAGTAGAAAAATGTTTGCGTAAATAGTTTGTGCTCTCGTAGTTTAAGTTTTCTATTCGAAAACAACGGCAAACGCTGTCATATAATTTTTGGTATTTCTTTCTCCTCTACATTCGAATTAAAACGATAAAATAAATTACTTCCTTGTCACATATCTAAAGAAAATAAATAAATCATTTCTCATTTTTACAACTAAAAAAAAATATATAAAAAGTATTCGACAATTAATTGATCTATAATTATATATTAAAGAGAGTTTTCAAAAAATATTTGTAATTATTTTTTAAAGTATTGCAAGCGATCAACTTTTTTACAAAACAAAAAAATAATGTCGTAATTATTTTTAAAATAAAAAAAATATTTAGGCGTTTTCTCTTTTATTTTTAAAAAAAAAATTGTCTCTATTACCTAGCATCTTAAAATATTACATATTAATTCGAATATAATAATCATGAAACAAAATAAAATTTTATTTATTACGGGAGTAGTTATATATTTAAGGCTACCACCAAACCCTGTATTTTTTTAAACTTTAAAATTTTGGTTACCAATCTTATTTTTAATGCAACTATCCTTAGTTATTTGTTGGTTCTGTCAAACACTATCGAGTAGAGATATATAAGACTTTTACTGTTTTTAAAGGTAACAGTTTAAGAGAAAAATGTGGGAAAATGTTTTTTTTAACAAAAATTAAGGAATGCCAACCATTTAAAAATATAATGATAAATAAATGTTTGTTTGAAACCAGGGAAATTTTTGTGGATGAATTCGGCTGTTTGTTTGGCTCGCGTCATGGAAGAATGAAAGATTCGAGCGAAAGGGTGATTGAATTCCCTCAGTCTTTCACCGGTTATTTGGGCTTGATTTTGGCCTAAATTTTTATTTTATTTTGTTAACGGGTTTAGAAATTCATATTATATCTGTCATGTAAAAAAATTATATTAATTATATTATATAAAAATGTCATAAAAAATGAAAATTTTTTTTTAAATAAAGATATATTATTAAAATAAAATGGGGTTTCTTTTTAAAAAAAAATCATAAATAATAATTCAATGAAATAAATTAATCAATAAATATCTTTTTAAAAAAAAATGATAAAAAAAGAGAGAAATATGTTAGTATTATTTTATTTTAATTATTTTTTAAAATTGTCACACTTGTCCCTCGCTCATAGTTAGAGCGAATTCGCTGGAATGAATGCAAAGATAATATTTTGTATACTTCGCCGTGAATTCGCGCGCTTACTGTAAATGCAGCATTATTCATTAAGAGGAAAAGGAAGAATGGAAATATAAAATTATATATATATTTCTTATTCTTCTGACTATAGGTAAGGGCCAATATTTTTCGGTTACCATCTATTTACTTAAGAATATATAATAATTAAAAAAATTAGCTTACCAAATATGTTATTGTTATCAATAAACGAAATTAACATATAACTGTGAAAAATATTAATTTTATACTTAAAAATTTTTTTTATAAAACCTTTTGTCTTTTCTAAAATTATTATTAAAAAGTTTAAAATTATTTATCAGAAACTTGCAGGTCAGTACCAAAAGATTTAAATGTAAATGGAATGATTATAGATCAGACCTAAAATGATAGATACAATTCCGAGTCGGCTCCTATAAAATATAATTATATCTGTTTAGGACTTAGTGTCTTATAAACTTACTGATAATTTTGCCGCTCTTTAATTTTTTCTCCCTACCCCCCCCCCCAATCTTACTTCCCTTCTACCTTTTAATTTCATTCTAGTCCCATAACTTACCAAAATGCATACCACAAGTGAAACCCCCGAAATAGTTATTACAAATACAGAATAGATGATATATATTTTTTAAACATATATTTTATATGGTTTGTGTCTATAACCTAAAATTTTATAAAATGTTCTTAGCCATATATTTATATTGCCCATTAAAAATAAGAGAACAATGTATAATGTGTATTAGTGATCTGCATCGGGCCTAATTTTTCAAGCCTGGCCGGGCCCGAAATTTTTTTTTAAAAAATTTACCGACTCGACCCGGCCCGGCCCGAATTTATTTATATAGAAATTCATTTTTATAATTACTCAAAATAAAAGACATATGTTATATGTCGTTTAGTTTCAATAACTAAGATCAGATATTTTTATTTTTAAATAAAAAATTCAATATAAAATTGATAAATTTAGATATATTTAAAAAAAATTCTAAGGTCCCCGACCCGGCCCGAATTTTTTTTAAAATATTAGGCCCGGCCCGAAGCCCGTTCGGGCCGGGTCGGTCGGGCCGAGTATGGGCCGGGCCTAACTTTGCAGATCTCTAATGTGCATACCTTGAATAAATGAATTTGATTAAAAAATCCCATGAACCTAAACTAAAAAGGGGTTTAGGTTCGGATTTTAAATCATATAGTTACATCATAATGTTCTCTCCTGAATCGCGTTAAAATGCTGTTTCCTGATTCATGCTGCTATCACAGCCCTATGTATATTATACAGACATCCTCCGTAAATTTGATTTCTTCTACTTTATTCCTTTTATAATCATTTTTTAAAGATTCAATTCTTTTTGTCTCAGCCGCATTTCTATTTTTACCATCATGAACACTATACATTCATTTTGCAATTCATAAGTTGTTAAACTTTGATTCGCTCCATAATATACAATTTAATTATGGGCGCCAGCACCGGGCTCCTGACTTATCTAAGGGTTCGTGAATCACGAAACACGCAACATGTTTGATCTTTTAAATTCAATTATTAATATATCTTTCATGCAAGATATATATAATTTTAAAAGTGATTTGAAATGGAAAAAAAAATTACGATAAAAAGCAAATAAAATATGGCATTTTAATATATTTTTTTTATTAACTTCATTTTTCATATATTAATTTCCCTTCGTCGATTAGTAATTTTTTTTTAAAAAAATGGCTATTTGAATATTTCGTTAGCAACTGGTCTAATATTTGAGCATAATTTTGGTATTCTAATTATAGGAGTATTTGACTTTTAAAAAAATGATTAATATTTATTATTTCTCCAATCTTTATAACCTTGAGCGATAAGTAATGAAAGAAAGAAGAAAGAAAAATTGTAGACTTTGCTACTGAAATTATATTCGTAAATCATTCTAAAAAGAATAGATATTTATTTTCTTTTCCAAGCTGATGATCCCAAATAAAAAGAATGACTTCAATGCTCAAAATTTTATTCGCGAAGGTCTGAAATTTCTTTAATTCTTATTCGCGAAGGTCTGAAATTTCTTTAATTCTTATTTTGAGTGTTAGCCATAATGAATAATCAATTCGCGATAGTTCGGTTATATTCTTAGTCTAATTTGCAATATAGATTTTTTTTAAAAAAAAATAGCATATGCGTGTAGTGTAAAAATAACATTTAATGTTACACGATTTTAAAAAGTTCAACGCGTTTAGGCTACGTCATGGTAGAATTTTTTAAGTAAAAACTAGGCTTACATTATTTTCCTCTATAATTATAACATTGACGTTATTTCGTTCCTAAAATTATAATCTAAAAATTCATTTACTTCATCAGCGATAATAGAAACGCGGACGATGGTGTATTCTGTTGTATGGTCAGGCTTCTCATCTCACGAAAAATTTCGGCAGCGGTACCAACGAGGAGAATTATTCTTACAATAAATTAATTGCTCAATCCAAATATGACTATTTTACCTATAACTATCGCAACAACATATTTTTTTTCAAAAACTAGTTGCAACAACATGGCTTTTGAGATTTATCGTCTCAACTGATTAAATACAAATGTTACCACTTAGTAATCTTCTATACCCGATGTTGAGGTATTTATTAAAATTTCGCCAAATATTATAGTGAAATAAAAGGCCTGGCCATTTAAAAAATAAACTCTCGTCCATGTTTCCATTCTCGTTGACGAAGTGCACGGCAAAATGTCAACTGGCCTTATTATTCACAGGCAATGACGGGAAATTTGAAATTACCTGCAACGAGTATAAAATCTCAACTCATGGAAAAAAATTTCAAATTACCGAAATAACGACTAAAGATCATAGAAAAAAAAACAAGGAAAGATCCAATTTTAGCAGGATCAAAAGATTTTAAAAACCTTGTAAAATAAATTATTCTATGTAATAAATGAACAATCAATTATATCAAGGAAATGATAGTGGTACTAAAATCTTACGATACACTAGAAATGACAAATGATAATGTTTACTGACCGGAGCTGATGGCAATTAGAAAATCAAGAAAAGGCTGCTATGAATGCAATAAAAATGCAGTGGAGCCAAGGTAAGCTCCGTTGAATAGATGGGAACCTACGGAAGAACCATGGATCTACATATGGACATTATGGATCCAATACAAAACGACTATTATTTGATACTAGTAGATAGCCAGTCATGGTGAGTTGAGGTAGAAAGGATGAAGAGGATAACTACAAAAGTAGTAATAGAAAAGCTAATCAAAGTATTCGCAAGAATTGGAAATCCTAAAAACCTAGGAAAATGTGTCCCAGTTTAGCTCTAACGAATTGCTTGCGTTTTGTAGGTGAAGCGTAATAAAAAGCAGGCGCTTACTTTGCCTTGCCACCCAGCTTCTAAAGATCGGATCGGACAGAAGAAACACATAGTCATAGACCATAAAACGAAATAGAACCAAAATAGATTTTGCCAATTTTTGAAAAATTACAGGATGAGCAAAAACCCAGTAACTGGAACTAAGTCAGATGAAATGATGCTCGAACACAAGATAAGTGTAGGCTCAATTACGACCAAGCAGATCAGACATTACTGTAAACAGCGAGATGCAGACGCTACAATTCAAAAAGGATGATCTGGTTTTGGCCTGAACACTGGTACGTACGCAACATAAACAGGAAACGGGGTAGAGAGAAGATATGCAAACAAATTAAATGATCGAAAAGAAATGTCACTCAACGAAATAAAGAATTATGAAATAATGAACAAAAGAAAGAACAGAAATGCGACTTGATCCAAGTAAAAAATATATTCGTTAAAAATATTAATAGGAATTGTTGAGTCCAAAAAAATTCCAGATCGAGTCCTATCAACAAGGGTTTAGTTGGATTGGACTAGCAATGTGCAATTCACGTGATGTGATTGGTGAATGTTAAAATTTGACACTTAAAATTTATTTAGTGAATATATTTAATTTGAGATATAATTTCCTAATCCCATTTCAACTTGCGATAAAGTTTGGTCATGCCGCACTGGTCTTGATCCTACAGTTTTTTTTTACCACTGGGCCATTGGCTAGGGCTGAGGCAAAAAAAATAGATTTTGTGAGACAATAAATAGATAAGCTAATTTTATTATTATTTCTATTTTAAAACTTCTCTTACCAGAAATAGTTTTATAGAGTACTACTGAACTAACCTTGGTCGAAAATAACAATATGAAAAATTCAATTTTATAAACTGGACACAACACAATGTAAAATATAGTCAGAAGTTTAAATAGTGATCCCAATAGTGTACTTCTCAGTGAATATTTTAAAAATCCATGGCAAACTTAAAAAACTTTGGAATGAGCTAAAAAAATAAAATTTAACAATTCATTTGTAAATTTAATTTAAAAATAAAATATTTAGTAGCAAAAATTTTTGAGTGATAGTATTTCTTCTAAGAAAAATAAAAAAATTTTGATGAGAAAATCAAAATTTTTACTTTGTAAAATGCTCTATGATTTTAAGAAAAATTATCTGTGAAATTCATTACAAACCCTTAACCTTAAATATTTTTTTTTAATTTTGAGCAATTAAGTAAAATAAATTATTTTGTGTTAAATAATATATGTCATAAAATAGTATGCATCTAGAACAGGCAAATTTGATAACAATTCCTAAATTTGGCAAGAAAATTTTTAACTAATTTCAGTGAACAAGGACAAAAAAAAATTCACCATAGGTGTATCCAGGATTTTCCTAAGGGGAGGGGCCACTATTAGGTAAGATTTTCTACACTGAGGTTTTTATGCCCACTTATTGTAGAACTTTAATGACTCAATTTAGTCAATTTTAAATTAAGATCAGCCAAAATGATATTACATACACTTCATAACAGAATACTTTGCATAATATTTTAAAAATATTGGGTTAGCCATTTTTAAATCTATTTAACAACACTAGCTTTGGCTATGTTACATTTTTATAAAAATAATTTTAATTTTTAAGCTTATATAAAAATGCTTTCTTTCTATAACTTTTGAATTATAATCTTATTTTTAAAAATGATTAACTTTTACTTATTTTTCTTTCAAATTATTGTTTATAGAGATGTTGTATATACATTGGGTAGGGGAGGGGGGGGTGTTAAGGGAGAATTTTTATTAGCATAAAATAATATTTTAAAGAACAGGCAACTTTCTGATGGGAGGGAGGATTTTCCTATCCCTTTATGCCTGCTTTTAAAAAACATAAATTATCTTAGTATCAGCCAATGGTTTGTGTAAAATGTTAGGATGTCATTAAGTTATTGCAAAAATAAATATCTTAATCATAAAAAAAAAATCCATTGATACTTATCCTGGTTTGGCGGTCTGCATTTAATCATTAGAAAAATAAAAAAAATATCTTTAAATTTTACAATTTAAGATTGCAAGGATTCGAATTTAATAAATTATTTATAAAGCAAAGATAAATATGTAAAATAAAATTAAACTGTATAGGAAAAAAATCTAATTTGAAATAAAGTACATATATATATATGTGTTACCTTTTAAAATGCAAATTAATGTTAAAAAATATTATGAGTTCTTCTTATATTGTGAAAACTTTAGCAAAATTGAAAAAAGGATGTTAAAAATATAATTACTAATAAAGAATAAGTATATAATTTACTAATATATTTAAAATTTATCATAACATTATGAATAAATTTTTCTCATTAATTAATATTTATTGATCTTATAAGAGGGTATTTCCTATAATACCATACTGTCTATAAATATACATTTAATAATAATTAAGCTATAAAACAAAATATCTGTTACTATTATATATGCTTAAGAAAAATTAATTAACCTAAAGAAGTTAGTTCCCGTTCAAAATCAGATGAACCTTCTAAATTATATTGACCATGTCGTATAAGAAATAAATAACGAGAAGAGGATGGCATGGATCTCAAAATCTTTTCTTCTCTTATCTCTTTTTCCTTTTCATTTTTTGGCGGCTTTATCATATTTGAAGGGCTTCTTCTAATATAATATAAATAAAATTTCATGATTATAAGTTACTTGTCCCAATTATCATCCCATCTAATGGTACATGATTGTTCAATATTCCACTGAGCATATGCTACAAATTTATCCTTGTTATATAACCCATATGTAATTAATGCTAATCCAGCACCAACTGATGCACCAGTTAGAAATTTAGAAAATCTTGAACATAGTTTTGTAAATATAACCATTTGTACATGAATTTTGTGAATATTCTGAAGCTACCATAAAAAAAGTTAAATTTGTTAGAAAATTATGACAGCTGTTAAATATCAATTATTAAATTTTAATCAAAAAATATAGCAATATATCTACATATTTTCTTATATATTATTGTATAAAATTATTCTATAAATATATATTTTTGATTCGTCATATTACCTTATATTCTAATATGAAAAATATAGAATTGTTAAAGGATCAACGATCATAGATTCCATCCAAATTTCGTAAATTTTTCTGATCAGCGATTCTAATTTTTGAAGGCCTTGATAGACAATACTTATTTTATAAAAGAAAAGTGCCATGATCGGTTATCCTTTCTTTAGGAAATAGCCTGGATCAACAGTACAAAAATGAAGATCGGATTAGGATTTTCAGGCATTTTCAAATTGTGACTAAATTTTATACGGACTTTTGGCCTGCAAAGGCACGATTTTCGATAGTGTGAGAAGATAGAAATTAATTATTTGACTTCTTTTTTTTATTCATATCAGTTACTTTGTTATATTTAAGAAAGTATCAATATCATTTAATTTTATGGTGCTTCAAATTAAGGCTTTTTTTACATTACTTTTGGTAGGCTTCGTCCTGTAATGCAAATTTTTAACCAATACGCCCGTCATTGTTAGATTATTTAACAAGCTAAATATAACTGCCTACTAATTGTTTCAAAATTTTTAAACTAACCCATGTTTTTTTTTAAATATAAATCTAATCAATCAGTTTGAAGTATTTTTGTTATGTCGCATTTGATTTATTTTACATCTGATTTCTGATATTTTACTCCAATGTCTACAAAATAAAGTTAAAGTATAAGATTAATAAAGCCCGATCCATGAGTGGCTTGGAATGGCTATTATAAGAGTAAAGATTTGAGAATAATTATTAGAATAAGAATTTTGGGTATTATAATAAATTAGCTTTTATTTTTAATAAATTTAATTTATCATTTTCCATATTGGAAAATCTTTTCAATAAGATATAAAACCAAATTTATCATGACATTTATATTCTATTTATATTTCATTCTTCATTGAGAATAATTTTCCTATATATTTAATTATTTAATCGGATTTTATTTTAGTTGAAAAGTGAGAATTTTTTTTTAATATTCATTAACTTTTTCTTTCTATCTTATATTTATTAATTCTCTACAATTTCTGAACAGGCATTCATAGAGTAGAAAGAATGATACTCCCTATTTGTTATTAAATTTATACATGGATTGGCAGCAAATGCATTTATACCATTCCAATTGATTCCCAATTTGTCACATATATCATATTTAAATTCTTACCAAATAGAGGATTTAAATTTAAATATTTTCAATAAATTTATAATCGTTTATCTTTAATATTTTATATATTTTTTAAAAACTTATTTTTAAGCAATTTATTATGATGTAGATATATTTTTTTTAACTTATTTTTAAGCAATTTATTATGTAGATATTTTTTAAAAATATATAAATATAATAAGAGAATATTTTGACAGTTGATGAGAGTTCAAAAAATGTGAACAAAATTAAATTTTAATATTTCTAAGATATAAATTTTTTCTAAAGAAAATTTAAAAAAAATAAGAGCATGATGTTAAATGAATCAATTGAATTAAAAATAAAGGATGCATTTGTTTCTTTATTGTGCATATATATGGTAGGCTAAGAGATATAATAAATCATTATGTTAAGGTAAAATATACAAAATACAAAGCAGAGATGAACATGAGAAATGATAAAATGAAATTATGTATGTTGGGCAAGTATTAATTATTATTTTAAAAAAAAAATACTAATAAAATACTTTTGATTTTGAAAATAATAATCATACATATTTATATAAAATTATTTTAAAGGAATAAAATACAATATATTTTATCACCCAGTCAATAGTGTTGTTGAACAACCCGATTTATAATAAAGGCATGATTTAGTCTTTACTCAAAATAATATTATGAAGCCTCGAGATTTGGTAAATAGTGGTCCAAACGATTTTGCCATCTTTCCGCAAATTTTCAGGCTTACATATATAGTGGCTAAAATTTTAATCAGGCCGTTTTTAAAATGGGGTTTTCAATAACACTACCTACCAAATAAAATTCCATCCACTGAGTAAATTATGGAAATGTTTATTTTACGTTTTATAATATAAATAAAACATAAATAATGTTTTAATATCTATTCATATAATCATTATTCTTAAACATATTTATCACTTCAAAAAAATATATTGCTTAAATTAAAATAATGAACGAACACATAGGCAAAGCTAGGATTTTGATAATTCGGGGGGGGGGGGACTATCAGGTGTGTTTTACTCTTAAATTTTATTGGAAGACTTTAGAATCCATTGTGGGCCTTTGGCTATATTAGATTTTCAAGCCTATGTTAAATATTTATTTATTTTCATTTAATTATAAGTAATATTATAAAAACAAATAATATTTGTTTGAATAACAATTGGTATAAAATGTTATTTTCGTAAGTAAGAATAACTTTTAAAAATTAAATAAAAAGTTAAACATTTAAGATTTGGTAAGGTTAAAAAAGATATCTTATTCAAGTAAAGAAAAATGATAAAAAGTATATACACAATTAAATTTTAAATAATAATATTTCAATAACTAAAATATTTTTAAAGTTTATTTTCGATTTTCACATTTAAATTTTTTTTAATTATATTCGTTGTTTTAGAAGGTTATCAACTTTAACTAATTTTTCTTTCACATTTCTTCTTTAAAGTTATATATTGTATACCATCTTTGGGGGAGAGTAGAAAAAGGTGTGTGGGTGAAATTTTTTTATAAGCTTAAGATGATATTTACGAGAACAAACAAATTTCCGAAGTGGAGGTCTGCCCCCCCCTCCCCCCCCCCGGCTAAGCTTATGAACAAACATAATGCTCAATTTTTAAGTACCATAGTAGTTATTATTTTTATTATATTTTTCAGATTAAAAATGTTCTATTTATATAGTTAGTTTTATTTATTATAGAAAAATGAACCCGTTGAGCTTATTTTTGTAATTCAAGGAAATTATTTATCGAGATTATATTTTTTAGATATTTTCTAAATTTGTTTCTTTAAAATCATTGATTAAGAAATACTGGGGAAATATCTTGTCTTCTTTATAAAATAGAATACTTTTTATAAATTGATAATTAAACTTTAAAGATCTCTAGAAGAATTAGGAATAATATTGATAAAAATACTTGAATTTAAAATTATAGAAGAATTTTACTCTACTTCCAAAAAAAAATGTAGTGCCTGTATGTGTTGTTGGTTAAAAGAGATCCATCACTAGAAGAAAGAAGGAGGATTTTGAAATTTATATATTTAATAGATACAACGTCTAATCTTTATTTAAACTAAAACAAACTAAACATGTTAATTAATAATTTTTTTTACAATTTATTTGTAAAATAATAAATTAAATATTATTTCTAAAAGTAATTATTTATTATTTAATAATGCTAATTTTTTTTATAATATGTAAGAAATTTTAAAATTGTAAAAGATCTTTTGAGATTTGATTATGGGGAGGGGGGGGATTTGAGGTAGCGGGTTCTGTGAGTGTTGATGGAAAAATATCAGGGAGACTTTTGCGGTGGAGGGGGGCTTAGAGTCCTCTGTATAGAATTCCTACTATAATAATAATAGACGAGCCTCCCTGGTGGGTAGAAACCTTGTAACTCTATGTAGAGAATGACTACCCTAACCTTGTGAATAGCATTTACATGAGGTGGGAGTGGTGGGGGGGGGGTAGGAAAGTTTGATTCCAATTTTTTTGAGGGATTAGGCATTTAAGGAGGTAGTAGGGTAGGGGTAGGATAGATATATTGGGGGTTATCTTGAATATTTAGTTGAAGTAGGGCAAAATGTATTGCTGCTAAAGTTGATACTTATAGACCTATTATAATACAATAATATTGCACATCGATCAAATCTAAATATTTCACACAACCATAGACATTATTTTTCAAACAAAACTATTTCTGGATAATTTATTACTATCATTTTGAATTAATTTAAAAGGATTAGACATTCTATCAGTAAACTCATATACATGCCAAACAATATACTCTAATAATGCATCATTGTGAATGCGAGGGTTTTCAATTGAATTAATGTTTTAAAATACAAGTCTTCACAATATTTTAACAGTTGGCAGTAGAGCATTAATAATCTAGGTCGTTCTTTTTAAAATATATGAAGGGAGTACCATTAAGGTGTCATTAATAATGGTAATATTGCCCTCAAAGCGGCAAAATATGGGTAGATATAAGTCTTTGAAGGTGTTGGCATCAATATTCTATTGACGAGGCCTGATTGATATTTTAGAAATAAGAATATTAGGAGTGTATAGTTTTAATTATATCATAGGCATAGCCAGGATTTTTCTAATGGGGGGATTAAAAAATTACTGGGGGCTTCGTCCCCAGCATTTTGGGGGAAAAAATAAGTCTGGAACAAATATGATATTTATTTTTATTAGTTTATATAAAATATAAAATTACTTGTATATACATTTATATAAAAGAATGGTAATAATTTATTTTATACAAGTATAAGAAATTTATTTATAAAATGTAGACATATAGTTGATATTCCTATATTATATAGAATTATTACTAGGTAAAATTCCACTTTTACAGACATATTTGACAGTTAAAAGAATGGTAATAATTTATTCCATACAAGTATAAGAAATTTATTTATAAAATGTAGACATATAGTTGTTATTCCTATATTATATAGAATTAATACTAGGTAAAATTCCACTTTTACAGACATATTTGACAGTTAGAGAATATATTACAGTTAATATTTTAACAAATTTTACTAATCAATGCTTTGATAATAAATATAGCAACAATTTGCATTCAATTATTTTACTCCATCTATTTATTTATATAAAAATGATTTTAAAAATTAATTTTCATATTATTCATCCCACAATGTCTTTAAAAGATATTTTCTGATGTCCTTATCAATATTTTATAGCTTTCT